TAAAATTCTACTGGGCGGGTGTGGCCGACATTGGTAAAAGTATATTTTTTTCTATATAATTTTATTTTCGGGATGGGGGGGGGGGGGAGGCTCGCAATCCACTATTAACATTAAACACATGAATTAGGCGGTAATGTCAGTGTTTTTATTATAGAGTATCGATGACGTCATTTCTTTTTAGGGGGTGGCGGCTTAGACCTCTTCTGGGGGGGGGGGGGGGCTTTGCCCCTACACAATGAATTGCTTGAAAGAAACTCTTCACGGATACCACTTTTAAGATTAGAAAGAATTGGCTTTTAATTCATAGTTTACTCGAGAATCAATGACCTCATATTACTGTGTGTAGGCCCTCTTTTCCGGCTACTGGCTATTTCATACTATATGTTCCATGTGACGTCACGTTTCGTTTTTCCAATTACTTTGCATGTTTTTACTCTGCTTGTCTTTTCTCTATAGCGTTCTTGACACATACACAGATATATACATACACAGACAGTGAAACTATTATTATAGACGAGATAAATGGCCCGTTGAGGGAGAGATGCACGTCCGCTAGGCTGATAGTGTTGTCTTTTCCTCTAAATCGAAACTAAAAAAAATCACCACCTCAACTTTAATTTAAACAGGAAACGAAAAATGTCATTGAAAACGGATTTCTGACCAGAATCGGCATTAAACCCGAAATTATAACCGGAATTAAACTTGATCTACGCGTAGTTATTGCGTATTGATACTAAACATAGTCGAAGTCATACCCCTAAAAATTGCACCTAATCTCAAACACAACATAGGTCGCATTCAGGGGGGGGGGGGGGGCCGGGCTGGGGGGCTTCGCCCCTACCTGAAGAATTGTATGAAAGAAACTTTTCACACAAACCACTTAGATTAGACAAGATTAGCTTTTTAATTCAATGTTTACTCGAGAATCAATGACGTCATATTATTGTGTGCACACCCCCGGCTTTAGAGTATTTTCTACTATATGCTCTATGTGAAATCGTGTTTCGTTTTCGTTTTACTGTGAAAGTTTTTATTCTGCTTGTGTTTTCTCTATAGCCGCTTTCGACTCTTTACAACTATATGCTACATGTGACGTCATGTTTCCTTTTTGGTTTTACTGTGAAAGTTTTTACCCTGCTTGTGTTTTCTCTATAGCGTTCTTGTCAGATAGATACACAGATAAATACAGACAGCGAAACTATTATTATAGATACAGAACGGAGAAGAAGATAAGCCATACGTAAAGTGTCGATGTGGTTTGTACCCAGATACGTTACTGCAATCAGCTTACTTCCCAGGAAACAAACACAACCATTAGTATTATTGAATCCATTTTATTTTTATCATTAATTCATAGCGGAACTGAAAAGTGGAAAAGAAGGCATCTACCCTTTTATAGCGGAACTGAAAAGTGGAAAAGAAGGCATCTACCCTTTTACATAACTACACTTACACCTACCCCTACCCCAACCCATACCCCTACCCCAACCATTACCCCTACACCTTGCGAGTAGACCTACATTTACATACACAAAGACACGTACCCAAACAGTTATTTACCCACATACAACGACATTGAACATTATTCTGCCTGCATATTTCGTATAGGAATCTATATTCTATAATTTCCTAAAGACTCGCAAACCGATAAAGAGGACACTACGTTCAAGGTGCGAGGATTTATTCAATTGTTTTACATAGGAACACAAGTCGTCTAAGAAGTAAGTTTGACACATTTCGACAGTCCGCAGTACTTCGTTGCCTTCAATGTAGACTTGTTTCCCCAATTGTTTTTTCTGTGGTAAAACAAATTTTTCAGATATTAAGATAATACATATTTCTCGAAAGCTGTACAACATATGCTTACAAATTTAAAATGGGTTACATTTAAAAAAATAATTTTCATTTAATCAAGTGTTGAAAAAGCGTTTATTTAACAAAAAAAAAGGAAAAACAATATGAGCTAATATTACGATATATACTATTTGAGCCTATAACACTCACATCTATCACAATCAAGATAGACAAATGAATCCACCGGAAAATTGTTTATGTCAACAATGGATCCAGACGGATAAGAATGCAAACAAAATACGCCAGGGATATAAAGATAGCCGATACATTCAGGATCGTCACGGCAAGTGGTATAGCAAGTCTGTAATACAGAGCAAAAATGTCGTCATTTGATGAAGAGTTAAATCGAATGTAAATCTAAGATTATCATTCCGAACTAGAGAAAAGTTAACTGAAGACAATGCGTTCATGGGCATATAAAGAAGAACTTTCTTATATATATATATATATATATATATATATATATATATATATATATATATATATATATATATATATATATATATATATATATACTAATTATTTAAAGATTTAAAATAATGAATAAACTTTGATTGATAAGATAGTATGTTGTTTTATGCAAATAAACAGTGTTCTGTTTTAATTCTTTTACTAAATGAAGTTCTTAAACATATAGATTGATATTAAAATACGAATGTCCTAAAGACATGACACTCACCTCGTGATTCTGTAGAGTAGCTGAATCGCTTTTTAAAGTGCATTGCGCTATACAGAAACAAAAGTTTAATTGTAAATGCAAACAGTTTATGTAAAAATCTCTTTGAATATTTACTCTGCATAGGCCTACTACAAAACCTCCGGTTGGTACGTTGGTCAAGACATGAAGACAATAAAACGTAACATTAAACTTGAATTAATTTTTTACCTAACTATTTTTTATGACCCACGTACCAACTGCGAACCGTATCTGTCAATTAGTAATGCCCGTAATTTCGCTCGGCCGTTTCGATCTAGACTGACGACAGACGTACTGTCGACAGAGACAGTAAGTAAAATAAAAGCTTGTACAAATGTTTTAATCACAAGCAGTTAATAAAAATGATAATGCACTAAAAAGTAGAAAAACAATTATAAACTACTATTTAATTAATTATAAAGAAAATCGTTTGTCTCTTCCTAAATATTAGTATAGGTATCCAATAGACACATTTTAATTAAAAGCTTGTAATTAAGTTTTTTGCAACGGTGTCCACAAAGATTCACAATGTATATAAGACGTTGTGTTAACGGAAATGAATACGGGCACGATTTCGTTGGGTTAGGTTTGCTAATATCAGGCCAGGTCAGGCCATGTTAGGTCAGGTCGTGTCTGGTATGATTAGGTCATGCCAGTTTAGTTTTTCACATTACACTTAACAAAACCAATTTACACAAGGAAAAACTTACTGCTGTCATTGTAGCATGATAAAGCTGATCCTGCAACTACATTTTGGCTAACATTTACAACATCTCCAACATAGAGCTTGGTTGTACACACACCATCGGCAAACTTGAAAGAGTAACAATTTTTTGCCCTACAAGCTGAGTAGCATTCCTGTGGCAAAAAAACGTTGTACTATAATTAAATGTTCTATTTGGACGCAGACGAAGAAAAATACTCAGATACAGATACAGATACTGATAAAATATAAATACAGATGCAAATACAGAGACGTAGACAGACATAGCCAAAAAGGTAGAAATAGACGTAAATGTGGATGTAGATGAAGATTGTAGATGTAGATGTAGATGAAGATTGTAGATGTAGATGTAGATGTAGATGTAGATGTAGATGTAGATGTAGATGTAGATGTAGATGTAGATGTAGATGTAGATGTAGATGTAGATGTAGATGTAGATGTAGATGTAGATGTAGATGTAGATGTAGATGTAGATGTAGATGTAGATGTAGATGTAGATGTAGATGTAGATGTAGATGTAGATGTAGATGTAGATGTAGATGTAGATGTAGATGTAGATGTAGATGTAGATGTAGATGTAGATGTAGATGTAGATGTAGATGTAGATGTAGATGTAGATGTAGATGTAGATGTAGATGTAGATGTAGATGTAGATGTAGATGTAGATGTAGATGTAGATGTAGATGTAGATGTAGATGTAGATGTAGATGTAGATGTAGATGTAGATGTAGATGTAGATGTAGATGTAGATGTAGATGTAGATGTAGATGTAGATGTAGATGTAGATGTAGATGTAGATGTAGATGTAGATGTAGATGTAGATGTAGATGTAGATGTAGATGTAGATGTAGATGTAGATGTAGATGTAGATGTAGATGTAGATGTAGATGTAGATGTAGATGTAGATGTAGATGTAGATGTAGATGTAGATGTAGATGTAGATGTAGATGTAGATGTAGATGTAGATGTAGATGTAGATGTAGATGTAGATGTAGATGTAGATGTAGATGTAGATGTAGATGTAGATGTAGATGTAGATGTAGATGTAGATGTAGATGTAGATGTAGATGTAGATGTAGATGTAGATGTAGATGTAGATGTAGATGTAGATGTAGATGTAGATGTAGATGTAGATGTAGATGTAGATGTAGATGTAGATGTAGATGTAGATGTAGATGTAGATGTAGATGTAGATGTAGATGTAGATGTAGATGTAGATGTAGATGTAGATGTAGATGTAGATGTAGATGTAGATGTAGATGTAGATGTAGATGTAGATGTAGATGTAGATGTAGATGTAGATGTAGATGTAGATGTAGATGTAGATGTAGATGTAGATGTAGATGTAGATGTAGATGTAGATGTAGATGTAGATGTAGATGTAGATGTAGATGTAGATGTAGATGTAGATGTAGATGTAGATGTAGATGTAGATGTAGATGTAGATGTAGATGTAGATGTAGATGTAGATGTAGATGTAGATGTAGATGTAGATGTAGATGTAGATGTAATTTGGTTTAAAAATCTTAAGTTCTGGGGCGGGCATATCGGATATTGGGTTGTGTGCGCAGTGCTGTTGACACACCATTTCCTAATTGAAAACAACGTCGTCTAGAATAATATACAGAAATGCATTTAGATACCTGTGGATATGTTACAAAAAGAAAATATTGTTGTTAGTAAGTACAGTAGTAAGAATATATGTATGAAGTTTAAATATATTTACCAAGGGTGATGAAGCGTTTTGGGTTTCTATTAATGGAGTTGATAACGGAACACAGAGTGCTTTAAATAAATAACAAGATAATTTGTAATCAAATTATTAAAGATCTGCATTATAAGGAAATATTTTTTTATACGAAACTTGATTTTATTTAATTAATCTATAAATACCTATGACGACGGAACAGCGTATGCCCATTTCCACTTTCAACCACTAATTAAATTAAAAATCTAATTTTAATCATACAAAGTAAAAAAAAACATACTTTACATAGAAAATTTAAAAATAAAATCATCTAATTTATCGATAAAGCATTGTTGCACAGGTATGTGAAATGTATTTTTAATATCATATAGCATATAGTTTCGTAACGTAAAATAATATTTTATTGTGGTATCACCACAAACATAACACAACATAAACGTTTATTACAGCTGTACAGCTCACAAAGATACAATTAGTTCTCCTTTATGAACAATCTTTACCATCAAATTGGGCAAATAACTTAATACTACTGAGAGTTAAAAATAAATTAATTAATTTCCCTTCAATCAAGTTTTGTCCACCTAAGAATTGTCTTATGATTGGCAAGCATCAAAAATGTGTTGAAATCTTCGTGTATTGCATTGCGAATAACATTTAATGTAACAATATCTACAAACTTACCTAGACATTTAGCAGGATTAGCTGGGTTGACTTTATAGCCTGGGTTGCAGGAACACACAATTTGTCTATTGACCACCGTTGTAATTTGCTGGCAGCGACAATTGGCTAAAACAAAGTAGCGTTCGTTGTAAATGTCTTTGTAATTTATTCTACTTCATAAAAGCACCTTCTTTGACTACAGTTTGATCATAAGACTATTAAATTTATTTTAGCTTTTCGGAAGTACCAACTATCTAAACGTTGTACAGCCCGAAAGAACCGTATATGACACACAGCAATAGACAAAAAACAACTTTCCAATACAATAAACCATTTTGTTATAGGAAAATCACGCTTAATATATCTTCCCAAAAATGGAGGATTAAGAACTTGCGACGTTCACTAAAGTCAGCAACCAACTGAAAGAGTTAACGGAAGGCTGGTTTTATTAAGATTTCTTAAAGCTAAATATGTAATATTTGGTTTAAAAATAAACTACTTTTATTTTAATGTGTCTGCTTCTGGTATGGCTAAAGTATGGCAATCGACTGGCCTGATGAAACTACACCTAATTCTGTCTCAATGTAACTTTGATCCTGCTGGTAGCGCCAATAAGACGTACTTGATTTTTAAAAAATAAAAAATAAATCTCCCCTAAATTTTCTCCAATATTTTTATATAACACTACTGGGGATGGCATCTCGGGATATAGACAATATTTTAAATTCATTTTAAAATACTTAAACTTTTAAATATATAATAGAATCTTGTAGATAAAAGAATAGTGCAGCAAGTGAACGGCTAACAGTATGTGTATTATATAATACGTTGTCAATTTATTATCGTTTTTTTATTTTTTTGAGAAACCGGAAAATAGCGTTAAATACTACTTCCGTTAAATGGAATTTTGTTTTTTAAATTTGACAGAAGACACGTAATTAGATATCTTAATTATGTGTTAGATTTCGTTTATCTATATGAAACACTACTTAAGTAATTGGCTTTTGAAAATCCAAAAGTAAAAAAAAGTTCCATAACCGTTTTCCGGAAATCGCTGAAAAGCTTATACAGAACTTCAAATTTGATATAACACTTATATATCAAAATTTCATCAACATAGCTGTAACGGTTATCGTGTTCACAGACATACACACACATTCACACATACACACACATGCGTATAAAATTGCAAAACAGTTTTTCCGACTTAGGGGGTTGCAAAACTTCGAGATTTTTGAAAATCTCAATTTCGATTTTTTGCACTATTTCAACACTTCAAATTATACAGAGAGGATTTTAATACCGCGAGACTACAACGTTGAATTGGTTACGTTTGTTTCAGTTTATTTTACTATTTTAACTATTTTTCTAACCGCATGTGATCGTAATAGACTCACCCTGTGCGTATGATATGCACATAAACAGTATGGCTGCAATGTTTACTTTTGAAAACTTCATCTTGATACAACTTTTAAGGTGATATAGATAGATATCTGTAATTGAAACAAAATTAGTAATAACCATGTAACTTGATTAACATAGAATTTGTTTTTTAATAAACTAATCACAGACCAAATAAAAGGAACACAATTACGTGTTTAATGAGCTTGGTTGCCTTAGCATGAATACGTAGCAATCAGTTAAGAATAATTTTTTAAAATCATTCTTAACTGATTTTTTTCGAATATTAAGAATAAAAAAACAATGAAGGGCGAATGCTGTTATTGGTTTTTTTCCTAGTCCGTTCAGCGACATTCCAAAATTTTAATAGCATATCAATATTTAAATAAGAACTGTTGTTTTCACAGACAGTTTTCCTTTAAACCTCATTATCATTACGTATATTGTTCTTGTTTACAAATATCTTTATATTAATATCTTGATATTACATTTGGAAATTGTGTAAAAAGCTGATTTTATTTTGGTAAGCAGCGTTAGGCTCACATAAAAAACTATAGCTGATACATGTTTGAATTAAAATATCATATGCTCCGTGGATATTTTTATTAATCTTTATCAATAATACAAGAGAAAGAACCTATCCCAAGCCTCGTAATGTATCTCAACACATGTTTTGATTATTTAAAGACAAGTGTAGGCCAAAAAATAGGCGCACATCGGGTAATAGATCTACTAATCTATCATCATTTTTAAACTTCATTATAAAACTGCATGTCATTAAATATTACAAATACGTATTAGCTCAATAGTTAAGTTTTTACTGACTGTCATATTGTAAATACATTTTTAAACCGATAAAATCTGGTAAAAGTTGTAAATCACTAATACATATAGTTATACTATTGTATGTGTAGCGGTATGTAGTAAATAATATGTAGGCTTAGTATGTAGGTCTATGCATATATTATTAATTTTCTTGAATAATAGTTATTATCATAATTTCTAAGCTTATTAGACCCAAACAGTGTCTATATATAAGAATTAAATGCAAGATATTCTAAGGAGCATCTTGTAAACTTTAGTCAAATACTAATTTATTATTGTTATTATTTATGACACATTTGTTTCTTCAAAGTAGCACCACACTGCACAATTTTTCTTTTATAAATTACATATAATTTTATAAAAATATGAGAGAAAAACAAAAATAAGCTAGTAAAAGAACCAAAATGCAACTAGAGTCTACCATCTAGAAGTTTGAAATTGTTCTGTGAAGTAATTAATATACTACAGAAAAGGCATTATACAGTACTTTCAGTTAATGTCGTGGTCAATCAGTTGCATGGTGTATTAAAATTGCTGCAATTCATAATTGGATATTATCAACACAAATATAATATATATATATATATATATATATATATATATATATATATATATATATATATATATATATATATATATATCTTTATATATATATATATATATATATATATATATATATATATATATATATATATATATATATATATATATATATATAAACAAATTATGTGTTGGTACAATTACTCACCTGGCATTAGGAAATATATTTTTTCAAGAAGAGAACCGCAGTCTGTAAATTATATTTATTTTCACATAAAACACCTAAATTGCAGCTGTCCGCCAGTTATAAAGAACGGAATCAAATTCGAACTGTGTGGTACGAATCACACATACAGTCATTTTTAGATATGAATTTGAGTCAAAAATGAGAATGGCATATTAAAACTCAGAGAGATGGATGGACTGAAGGACGCAGTATGATAGCTGAGTGGGCGGGTCGGTCGGGCGGTTAATCGGTCGGTTTTGGTGTAGGCGTAGGCGTTGTCGTGCAATCTACGTCTGGTCAAATTATCTGTGATTACACAGCCCGTTGTTACCAAACTGCCTGTGGACAAGCATTTGCTGTCGTCAAACATATGGATCAATTCGTTTTGGTCGAAGCACCTTCGCTCAACAGAAATGAGAATGAAATATATGTTAATGTATACACAGAAAAACATACAAAAATGAACATGCAAGCACGAACACACACATTGTCATACTCATAATTGCCGAAGGATCTGTGTATTATTTTCTGTGTGTGCATTTGTATATGTACGAAAATTTCTGTGTTTGTTTTATTTGTGCGGAAATTTCTTTTGTGCAATTTTCTGTGTGCGGAAAAATCTTTTTGCGTAATTTTATGTTTGCTCATTTTTCTGTGTACAAACTTTTATCTTTACGCATTTTTCTGTTTGCGCAAATTTCTCTGAGCGCATCCTTGCGTATTTTCCCGTTGCGCATTATTTGGTTCGCAGTTTTCCGTTGCGCATTGCAGCTTAAGACATATTAATAATTTTGTTCTATTTACTGTAGACAATAAATAAATAAGACAACGTTGTGGTGCCTCGAAAATCACAAAAAAAACTTTAGTTTCCTTACCTTGTGTTAAGCGTTGATTAGCGCTTGGTGGATCAGAACACGGTATCCGAGCCTCAGTCGCTGGCTCTTCCTGCAGTCTACGCTGTCATAATACAGACTTTTCAATTTGAATTTTATTTTATTTCGTTTGAAATAAAAATGGCATAATGGCACTCTGCCAATAGAAACACAGTAGCCTACTCCTCCAACAATTTCCAAACTTTGTAAACTAGAAACCGCCATGATATAAAAATACAACTGCGCCCCTATTATACAAGATTTTGAGTTTCATTCACTAGAAAAGCAATGTGTGATAACAAAGCAATTCAGACTCGCTGTTGTACAATTCATGTTGACTTTAATCACTGATGGTGCAGATAGGAACAGCATATGTTGTCGAATACCTAGTCGATTTGTCACTTTGGGAAAACAACAAGTCAAGTGTTATATGCGCGGACTCAGCAGACGACAGGTGTTAAAAATAGACAGGTGTTAAAAATGCGTAACCCGCCAACACCATTGAATCGAAATCGTCAGCACTATAACAGTTTGACCGTAAAAGTCACCCAGC